CATTATCAGCGAAGTAGTCACTCGTAATGATAGAATGGAGGGAAATATTTCGCAGTTAGTCTAAAATTTTACGAACGGAGAAGAAGTCAATTTTTAGCCGAAGGCGAAGGAAACATTGGTAAATATTTCCTCAAAGATATTAGCTTCTTAGCTACACTGTTAATTCGAGACAAAATAATGTAATGTATGTATGGATCAGCACGTGCGTAATAGTTGCTGAGCCTGAAGAGAATAATTGTTTTCAACATCAAGAACTACAAAATAACACGGGACGGCAGAAGCGATTGTTCGTTTGTTTTCTCATGTGCAGCCTTAGTTTTAAGAGTAACAGTTACATGTACATTGAATGTAAATCAGAATTTAGAGTTTAAAAGCAGTAAAACAGAAAAGCGAAACACTACAAAACATAAATTCATCCGGAACCTTTGTTTTATCGTTGTTGACTTTATTCCCAGTTGCAGTCATCGTCTAAAAATGAGTGACTCCAGTTTGAAGAAAAATATATTTCAGCAAATTTCGGTCACTCGATCTGACTTGCTGAAGACGAGTTCTTGAAAGAAAAATCTTTGGTCCAAGGGCGACAGTAGCCATGCCTTTCGAATGAATAGAAATCTCATTCAGCAACTGTCAGGTTAGACTACGAGTAGTCCCTCTTTCACTTAGTCCGTCGTGCGTGACGCGAAAGAAATTCGCGAGAAAAAATGGCCGTGCGAAATCCTGCAGGCGAGGAGCGCGCTTCTAGCCCCCAGGATATCGCGCGGCCATTTTTTTCTCGCGGTTTTCTTTCGCGTCACGCACGACGGACTAAGCGAAAGAGGGACTACTCGTAGTCTACTGTCAGGTGTGTTTTATTTCCCAAGATGGCAAATTTGGCGAGCTTAGTAACCTAGCTTAGAACCGACATTTTCAGCGCTCAGCGCGGTGAATATCAGCTAGTCTCAGTTCGGGGTGGGGAAATGCCCATACAAAATTGACGGGGTTGCTCGTTGTACCTTTTAGGGGTTAAAAACGCAGTTTTGGTACCACTTAGGGTGTTAAGCCTCAAAAGGTCCACAGCAAGAACTTTTGCGGTACCTTTTAGGGTATTGAGCCGAAAATATATGGTAGGAGATAATGGGTTATGTTGGAATTGGTACTTCTTAGGGGAGAAAAAAAATCAAGCCACGCCCACAAAACCGGATCTTGGTACCTCTTATGGGAGTCCCCCCCCCCCGGGGTTTCAGTCGAGGGAATCAGTAAGTTTTGCTCCCCCGAGAATCTCGATGTTTCCTGAGACAAGTCATTTAGTGTTTTGTGAAGTAGTAAGACTGATAACACAGACTTCGTCAGGGAGTTTGAACAAGATGACTGAAGGGAACTGATTTTATTCCTTATCTATAGAGTACAAGGGTGTGAACAGCAAAAGACACCTACAGAACATCACGTGCAGGATATGACTAAAACCCTGCGTAACGAACAAAGTTTAATCTTGGGGCTCACGGATTTAACGTTAAATCCGTGTGTCCCAAAAGCCATCTTGTTCAAACTCCCTGGCGAAGTCTCTGTTATCAGACGAAACCGGCCGAAGAAAATAAAGTAATTTGACAAGATCTGTTGCAATGTGCTGTTAACTAATACTTATTTAACCTGAAAGAAAACAGACAACAAATAGCATTGGTTCAGCTTGGAACTGTTTTTCACGGTCGGCAAATTCTTTTGCAATCAAAGGCCAAACAGAGTTCTTTTTTGTGGTTGCGCGAGGCTTGAAATGTTTTTGAGGGCAGATTTCGCGGATTTGTCAAAGACTTTGCACGAAAACGAAGCAGTCGCCATTGTCGATCGAATGTAAACAACAACGATGGCGCGGAAATAGCCAGAGCCTGCGAGTGATCATGCCCACCAGTGAAAACCGGTTTGACCAGCTCGAAACTGGACTGACTCATCCATTTTCTCGGATGAGCGGTGAATCAAAGAATGTCGAAGCCGCTCGCCGAGTCTCCTTCCTCTTTCCGATGTTTCTGGGAAGATTGCAGGGTACTGTTTTAACTGCCTCAGTGTAAGACTATTGTACTAATATGTCACGTTCGATATATCAATATTCTAACATGGCTCCGAGGCTTTCGGGTCAAAATTGTTAATTTTTTAAGTTTCATCCATCTCGCCTGCACAGCCTGACCTTTAGTTGTTACTAGTACTTATGGTTACGCTTTCAAAGTTCTCAGGTCTTGATAAAATAGCTTTTTGTCTTCGTGACTGTGCCCAAGGCTACAAGCAGTCTTGATGAGCTCTGCGTCGTTGTGATGATTGATGCGCAGAATATTAATGGTTTGCCCTGTCCTGTTTAAAATGACTAATAAAACAACAGTCCTCGAGATGCATTGGTCAAAACAGATAACACGATGACTTATGACGTCATCGCTTAATGCTGGCATACGACATTCCTTTGGATAAATGATGTAGCGCTCACGATTTATCCTGAATCGAAGCGAGGAGAACAGGGAACTAAACCCGTTTCCTTGCAAGCCGCCATCTTGATTTTCGGGATCGAGTGAAATAGTTTTTTCGGCGGCTTGTAGCATCGACAAAGTGTTGGTTGGATTTCCAGTTGTTAAACGCAGGTATCGGGACTGGCCGTGATTGTTGTATTTTATCCATTGTCTTCTAGTTACATTTAAGCATCCGTTTGTTTGTTTATTTTCCAATTTTCTAGACAGAAGTTAAGAAATGGCAGTTAAATGTCATCGCTTCTGCATGCATTGCGTGCCGTTTATTTATTTATATCATCAAGTTAAGGACGTGCAATCATACTGAGCCAAGTATGAGAGAAGTTCTCAGATGTAAAAACACGTTGCTCAATGCAGGGTTCACGGCATCCTTGAAAAGCAGCTTTAGTAATATACTAGGTTTTTATTCTTATAATACTATATTAATTGTACGGTTAGTTTGTTAGGCAGACTTAGATATTATACATTTAAATTGTGCTGAAGGAATTTTTACCGTGTATAAATAAAGTTATCAACTCAACTCAACTCTTCAAATTTATCGATTTCAAAATGTCCCCTCGCTCTTAATCCATCTTTTATTCGATTTCTCCTTTTTCTGGAAAATGAATCTATTTTCTTGTAGTTTTTATGCGTCACTTTTTCCGATGAAATTTCTGAGGACAATTTAGAATGTATCATTTGGACAAAAACAACAGCACCTAAACTGAACTAACGACCACTTCAAACAAGAATGTGTCCAAGAGTTCCAAAAATGCCACCACTTTTCGAAGAAGATTCTTTTAACCGATGTGATCAATGCCAGCCACAGCGGTGCTGAAAACGAGACCACATCTATTGTCAGTGTATTGTGAACGACCATTCTGTTTTTTACAGTTCGAGATTTGTTTGTCGAGTTTCCCACCTTCAAAAATGCAATGGCTCAATGGGCAGCCTCTATTTTTTTTCACCATCACGATGTCTGTAGAAAAAACATAGTGACTGGTGTCTTGCAAAAACAAAGCAACTTAGAGCACGAGCCTGGTGATCTGGTCTCTCTTAACCTTTCGCTTGCTACAACTTTCTAGAATGATGACTGCATGATGACTGCATGATGACTGCATGAACAAACGGGTAACGATAGACCTGGACAAATCGTCACGTCGCTAATGCAAAAGGCAGAAGACTTTGATTAAATTTCCTCCTTGAGTTGTCGAAAGACGATACTCAGCAGGGCGGCGCGAGCCACACGCGCAACTATTAGCGTCGGGATGGGGGTGCCGTGTTCTCAGCTATCGGCTGAAATTTCGGGCTATTTCTCAGGTTATCCGTAAATATTGCAGAACATCAGCAGAACATCGTCTGATTTCTCAGCTGCGATTTAAGATCTTAGCTAATTAAATTAACTTCCATGCAGACTATTGGCTATCGTTGAGAGTAACCTTGTGCATGGTAAACGTTGTTATTTAATGCGAGGAAATATTGCATACCACAAAGCCAAGCAGATTGCAATGTGAGCCGGGGACTGACTAACAGCACGGTCTTTAACTGAAACAACTGTAACTGTCAGGCTCGTGAAACGCTCTCCTATATTAATTGCATAGCAGAAACAAAATGAAGAATTCAGTGGGCCTATTCACGTATCAGTAAAAGTGTAACATTAGATAAGCTTATAAGTGGCGTGAAGATTATAAAATGCATTGAGCCGCAGGCGAGGTCAATAAACTTGAAAATTGAACTTGCTATTGAAGTCTCATTTCCGCTTCCGAATCACGACAGGAAACAGCCACCAAAATCACGAAACAGAACAACTATATTTAGCAATTATCCACTGAAGTGTAGGTGAAAAGTGGTGGATATCCGCACTTTCACCAACACTGAGGTGAGTGAATGTTTTAGTATATGCCACACAAGTTGAATAATCAGCCGATAAAATTTGCTCTTCGGTAACCGAAGCGAAACGGGGAGCCATTTTGTTTTTCTCCGTTTGCTCAGAGGTGAATAGTACTTGCTATTCACCTTCGAGCTAGCCAATCAGAATGCGCGGATAGCGCTATTCACTTGTGTGGTATATACTTATCTCGGTTATTCTTCGAAATCGCATCCGTGTCGTGGTTTTGATCATGAACGAAAGAGAAGGAATGCCATGACCAAACAGGAAAAATAACTGCTTAATAACAAGATTGAACCCTTAATACTAGTTTAAAAAACCACAGAAAGACCTTTTCATGTCATTTACGTAAGGAAATGTAAAAACGTGCCTCGGATGGGGCTAATTCTGAACCATAAGTATACCACAAAAACCGAATCTCAACTCTTTTGGGCTTTTGTGTAGTTGCATTGACACTATTAACACAGGAAAACCGCAACAAGGTCAATCCTCCCGGGGAAAACCAGATGGACAAGAAAGAGATCTTTTAGAAGGTGCTGGAAACCTTGTGTTTACACTTGTAACTGATATGCATTTTAAGCCATGTTTTTATTTCAGGAACGAAGTTATGCCCATTGGCGAGGTTGGTTTTTTCGAGATAGAAAAAAGTTGGTTGACCTTGGGCCAAAAGGCAAGATGACCAATGAGCCGATTAAGTTTATCTGATGTCCGTCTAAATTAACTGTTCTTGCCACCGAACAATCCCCTTGGAAGGAACACGGACTAATCACTTCAGACACCCTCTTGACTTAAACACTACAACCCTGCAGACAACACTTGAATATTAACAACAAGGGGTAAGAAACGTGCATAACAGATTGCAAAGAACGTTGTGGAATGATACCTGATCGCGCTAAGTTTGACAAATAAAGCGGCCAAGGTAATGAAAATTATTTGCGTATAACCCATTTGGTGGAACTCGGAAGGTCCTTTTCCCGCGTACTAGGGTAGGGAACCTGTCTTACCATCACATATCAGAAAACAGGGCCCGGAGTAAAACCTCTTTTAAACATTACCTTCTTCCGATATCTGGTTATGACGGAAGTTTTGAATGGACGCGTTGAAATTTTGTCACCGTGTAAAAGGCTCTGTAATGTTTATAACAGGGAGACTTTTGGGGCTTTGTTAACGAAGTTCGTCAACACTTTGTACCTGACTTTCCTCATCCTCAAGAACACTCACATACTTACATACCCCCGGTTATTTTGAAGGACGTTAAATCTAAAAAGTCGGTACAAGAGGAAGAAACACTGTTTAGAACGTGCGGAACACATGAAAAAAAAGTGTGTCTCGTGTCTGGGTTTGACGATTGTCGCGGCTTGATTGATCAGTAGTAAGAGTCATTAAATGTCGACGTATTGATAAGTCATTGCCAATAACACTTGACACTTGTCCTTGCTTACATGTCCGGTCGTCTGGGAAAAGGCTATAAAAGAAATTACGTTTTTCTGCAGAACTCAATCGCTGAAGGAGCCACGCAAGAAGAATACCAGCTGATCAAAGTTTGAGAGACCAACTAACTGAAGACCTGACCAAGACTAATGATGATCACGACTGGAGTGGTATTTTTAGCTGTGCTGGCTGTCCAGTGTGGCGCAGGCGAATCTTTGAGAGGCCTAGGTATGTTCTGTTCTTCCTTTCCAGTCTAAAATCGGAATGTGGGCTCGTTCAGCTGAAATTAGCTCAGCCATCTTCTTCAATGAGGTATAACTTTGATGCCGAAACGTACCACATGCATGAAGGTCTGAATTTACTTGTAATTAAACCAGCTATTAACATGTTAGGACAATTCAACTAGTCGGTTTGACGCCGACATGAGCTACGAATCGGATAAAAATAACTTTGGTGAACCTCAAAAAACGAGATCAGATATTTTCTTGGGTTTACCTCATGAGTAGATTTACCACTCGAGTATCGCGTGTCTAACATTAATACTGTAAATTCGAAGCATGCTTTTGGAGAAATGGTTGCGATAACTTCGCCGGCAGAGGCAGGCCTCAGATATTACAGCAGCTATGTTCTTGACGATCTCATAGCATTCTTTCAGGATGGAAAAAACACAAGTACCTAAAGATTTGTGTTTTTCTGGAACGAAATCAAATCTTATCAGAATTGCAAATCCCATCAAAATTGTTTTACTCTGTTTATTTCGTGACTTCTTAACTTTATTAGAGTGGTTTGTCGACAAAAACTGACAACTGTCATTTATTTCAACTTAAAATAAAAAAAAAACGCTATCTACTTTTTCGGTAATCTGAGTATCTTGAGAGCAGCCTCCCAAACAACAAGAGCACGCAAACCAGAAAAATGAAAGCGAACATTTTGAGAGAGGACAAAATGAACTCTAGTCTATCAGGGATCAAGTTTGATACTTTGATACGACAAAGATTGAGTGCGAAAAATACAACTTTCTGTAAGCAAGCATCTGCTCTCTAGATGAGACCAAATTGGGATCGACCGGACATTTTTATTAGGGAGCTTAAGCAACGACAACGGCGACGCCAGGGATAACGCCTAATAAAATTGAATTAATATTTTACGAATTTCGCAATTGTATAGATCCACTCAGACGCCTATGGCTCTTAAAGTGTGTTTAAGATTAAATATGTCACGACAGCGTTCAATTCCAAATAGAAATGCGAAATATTAGCCATCGTCGTTCGCGTCAGACCACGCAGAACTTGGTCATTTCACGTTGTTGTTTTGCAGAGGACGGCAAAGAAATATACAAAGATCTATAGCGCACGTGCACAGCCGTTGTTCTACTCCTTTTGTTTTGAAGCGTTTTCGTTTCCGTAGCCGTCGTGGTTTGCTTCAGCTCTCTAAAGCATTGTTATCGACGCTTTGTTAAAGCAGGATAATTCTGGCAGATCGGGCGTAGCTCATGTGAAACGAAAAGATGTTTACTCACTTTATCTAAAGTACAGGAATGTACAGGTTACAAATAATCCAATTAACGTACAATTCTAAAAACCTGGTAGGGAAAGACATAACAAGGATCGTCAGGGTTTTCTTCAAGAGTGATCAATTACCACAGGTCATACATTGTAGGAAACGATAAGCTATATTTGATAGTTATATCGTTAACGGCAATGAAAGAATGGACTTAATTAAAACAATCCAAAGTCGATTATCGTTATGCCGCAGAATGGGTCAGTCAGTGTTTGTTTTTTAATTATTTGGACTGAGGTAGGGTTTCATCTTTTGCGTCAAAGGGCTGTTCTTTATCTATCCAAGTTTTAACTTAAAGAAAATGTTAATTCGGCTTTTTTTGTAAGAGTTGCCATACTGGGTATCGCGTGGGAAGAATATAAACCCTCTCCTTCAAAACACTTCATATTAGGCCTTGCAACTCACTTAGTACTGTCCCTTTCACCATTGTTGGTTCGAAAATGTGTTTTGGAATGGGTATAGTTTAATTACTGTCGACTTTCCTTTTGCGTCATCGGTGACCTAAAACACCAAGAAATCAGTCAGCTCTTTCTGTGTGGTCATTAGTTTTGTTTTGACTGCACGGCACATTGTTATGAAAGCAGATCTGAACAACATCGAGGATTTAAGGTAGCTGCAATTGGACATCGCAAATCAGTGTAACTCTATCAACTGACTTGGCAACGATCTCCTTCTCTTAACAGCTTACAACAGATTCAAGCTTAGTCAATTTTTTTTCAGCTTTTTTTCAAGTCAATGATGCCTTGGTACCGTAACCATCGCAAATCTTGCGGAGGACAACGTTGAAAGAAAACATTTTATAAACTTAAATCTTCTTTGCTGAAATTCAGAGGACTAGTTTTCAATCATTTTTCAGCTTTTCTCAAGACAACGATGCCTTGGTAACCAGCACAAATATTACGAAGGACAGCGTTGAAAGAAAACATTTCATAAACTTCAATTTTCTTTGTTGAAATTCGCAGGACTAGTTCGCCATATCAACAATGATGACTGTCCCTACCAGAGACCAAAATCCTACTGTGAGCAGGGGCTACTTTTCTCCAGTGAAGATGAATCAGACTGTTACGATGACAGCGAGTGCTCGTCGCCCATGAAATGCTGCATGAAGGGTTGTGGCAAAAAATGTGTCCAGCCTGTTCATTATTCCACATGTAAGTCTCCTCGATCGACCTCTTTGTATAGCTTTGTAGGTACATGTAAATCATTCTTGAACATATATATTTAAATTAGAATTCTATCAGTACTTTTAACAGTTATGATTATAGTTTTGATATCCATAGTTCTCCTCGTTAATAAGAGTTTTGAAAAGCCCCGTGGCAGCATTCTTTTTATAAAAAATAGTTACCTTTAACAAACGTTTTTCAGTTGAAAAAAATACTCTTTTGGAATACAGTCAAAGCTTTTTTTAGTCAGATGGGTTACTGTAATACAGAAAGGTGGTAATATTTTCACTACCCCTTGACTCACCTTTTTAAAGGCGATGTCTTCATTGCGCCTAAGCGCTCACTCGACAAAGAGTAAACCTGGATTCAAACCTCTCTGTGATACTAGTAATAAAAGCTTCATACAAGCAGAATTGTTATGTCTCATTCTAAGAAAAGGAAATTTTGTTCATGGGGTTTATCTTACAGGTGAGGTCTTGTTCACCCCCATCTGCCCCTAAATTGTAGGTGGGTCTTCCTCGGGTACACTTGTTATATAAGTAATTAGTGTTATGTAAGTTTTCTCTTGTTATGTAAGCAATCAGTGCAGGCTTCGAAGATAATAATAAAAAAATAGTTGTAGCTGATATGTAATGTTGTGCCTTAGATTTTTGCCGAAACTGAAGTGTTCATCAGATAAAGTCTTATCGTTAAAAGTTGCTTTTTTCTTTCAATTTACAATTAGATTAAGAACTCGAGATTTCTAAATGTTTTAGAAATATGGTTTATTGACCAAGATTGAGGTCAAGATGGCTGGATTTTGGCCAAGTTCTTGTTTTGCGTGTTTATGGACCGAGACGGAGTCTATGGCTTTTGAGGAAATATTTCTTGAAGATAGCTCCATGTTGGCCTCTCGGGTGGCCAATCACAGGGCAGGATATAGTTTATCTTGCCCGCTCACAGAGTTAGCCATATAATAAGCATTCTTGCTAAATTTCCTTCAAGTAACTTTTTTCAATTATTTTTTACGCATTATATGTAGTTAGAATTCTACAACTGCTCTTGATATATATATGAATCTAATCGTTAAATAATCACAGACATTATGAAAACAGTCTATCTTACCGACACGGAACTATGCAACTGAATTCAACTGAATGATATACCGTTAAGGGTTCAAGCCAGTGTCAGTTTAGAGAACGTTAGAAAACAGAAATTTTCCACTAACAGAAAAGTGAAACCTTGTATACATCCCTTGAAACTCTATGTTGGTAAACTTCACCTAGACCTGTTTATTTGTACAGGTCTGACGAGATTTAAACTGTAAATTCTCCTTTCTGTTTCATACATGAGACTTTTACTGCCTGCCTTAAATTTTCGTTGACTTTTGAGGAGAAATTGACTTTTGATGTTCGTTTGTTGATGTTTTCAGGGACCGATGCTCCGGTCGATCTCGGTATCGTGCTTGACGCGAACGAAAATACTTGGGAGAAAGTGAAGAACATGACCAAAGAAATCATAAACGCGACGACAGTATCAAAGGATGTCACGCATATTGCCTTGGTAACGACAGCTCTGCCCAGTCAGACGCTGTTGAGGTTTAATCAACTCAATGATAGCGAGATAAGCCGTGACAAAGTCTTGAGTATCATTGACGGGATTGAACCACTAATGAGGGCTGGAAAACTTAGTAAAGCTCTGAAGAAGGCAAAGGAAATGTTTAAAGAATCTAACGGCGCTAGAAAAGACGCAATCAAGGTAAAGAGATGAAGTTAAGAGTAAATTTACAAAAAAACAGCGTTTTCATTCACTGGCCATGTATTTGAAAAGTAATCTCTTTTGAATAGAATCAAATGTTATAGTGTTAATTTAGTTCTAAAGGATTAAAAATTGGAGTATTTTCATTCATTAAGATTAGACTCAGGGCATTTATTTCGGACAGAGGAGAACGTTGAACGGTTTGTAGATTTGAGCAACTAGCAAATAAGCTGTTCAGCTGTCTGTTTCAAGTGGATGCGAACTGGGAAGTGAAGAAGGGGTAGCGGTGAGGGGGTGGGAGAGGGGCTGGTCAAAGGACCCCTGCGATCCACGGACCTCCAGAGGAAGAGACCATGATTGGTCTCTTTTCGAGAGCTGAGTCCGTAGACCTGCTCTTTGAGAGCCTCCTGTAAAGCAGACAGGGATTACAACATCTGAGAAAGGTTACTGATATATCACTGCATTCTCAATTCCAGTCATATGGGCAAATTTACAATTTGAGCTCGTGGCTGAAGCAGGTTTCATTATTGTCTTTCTCAGGTTCTTCTTGTCATCAGTGACGCAAATATGAGTCCCAACGAAAACAAACACGCTTTAGCCACTTCCGAGTCGCTGAGGAAATCTGGAGTCCTGGTACACACTATTGGCGTTACCATGGAAATGAGCTTAATGCACTTGGTGGAAATCGCTACGAGTGATTATTACGTCTGGCCCGGTGTTGACCACGAGTTGTTGTGGATGCTTAAGGAGCTGGAGAAACAACCAGGCGACATCAATCATTCATCGCAAACAGTGGGCCTTTCAAAATTGTAACATTTCAAGCAGTATAAACGGTTTCTCTTATCCTACTTAGGGTCTGGGATTATATCATCATCGTCATCGTCATTGTCGTCGCCATCATCATCATCATCATCATCATCATCATCATCATCATCATCATCAACTTTATTAAACTCTCGAATTTATATAGCCACTAACAGAAATTCGCTTCTCACATTCTTCATACATGCACTTAGCTGAAAGCTCGTATGAAAACTTCGATCTTCTCGTTCGTTAAGGTTGCGATTTGGCAAATTTAATTAAACGGAAAACAGTTCGATAAATTAGAGCGAAAAACGTGTTCTTTTAAAACTTGTTGCTAATACAACCAAAACTATATCGTCCTAGATATCAGTATCGGGTTTTCATTTGGTAGTGTCCAAACGCAGGACGAACTGCTGCCGTAATATTAAATGTATTTACTCGAAGAACTTTTAATACACTCGAGTTAGATAAAGTGATGATCACTGTAAGAGTAGTAAGAGTGACATGTAAAAGAAGGACTGGAAGTACTTACAGCTTCATCTGTGACTTTGTGCGAATGCTTCAAGTAGTTCTTAAATTTGTCCACTTTCTTTGGAAGATTTGGCGTCTGAAAACAAAGCAGAAACACAATCAACACCTATTGACTGAGATTTTTTGTGATGTCCAGATCAAATCGAAGGCAAGGTGAGAGTTTAGACCAGGCAGTCTGTTTTCCTCTTGTTTGTCAGAAAGGGAGTGCGGGACAACATTTCTAGACAAGAGGGGATTGGAAGCGAGAAAAGGGTGTGGCACCTACGGGAGACCTCTTGCCCCACACCTCAACCCATTATCGTTTCAAGCAAATTTGACAATACTTTTGGATTTATCTCTTCCCGTGCTAGACGAAGGATACCATGTTTACCATCTGATATTCATTAATCAAGGAAATAGTGATTTTCAGGTATTACGCGTTCAAACTGGAGCATCGGATATTGCATTTTCAGACTTAGACAGATTAGTTTAGCAGCCATTTATGAAGATCTCAAAGTAAAATTTGCATGATGTAACAATTGTTATGGTTACTTGAAGAAAAAAAAAAGACAAGAATTCATCAACTTGTACAGCTAAGTTGGATGCAAAATGAATGTTTACAGCTTATTTGGTGCAATGTGCCTTAGGTAGCATGGCGAGTTGGAACAGTGCACTGGCACAGACATGCAACTGAGATCTGTAGCACCTAGGTCCTAAGTTGTTGTATAGTTAAGACCTCACTAACCTTCAGTAACTTTTCTTTTATTTTGTCCATGTCGAGCTGAAAAAAAAAAAAAAACAGACATACACATAACTTACAGTTCATCCCGCGTGTGATTTTTCTAGCTCTCAGGTTCAATGTGTTATTTTTACAGGAAAGTAAGGCCAGTGTAATTTAACAAAAGTACTAACTTTATCGAGATTTGTGTTGAAAAATAACACGAAAACATTCTATCCATTTTATGACAAAGATTTGAGATAATTTTGAAGGTAAATAGGCCTGAAAAGCTGGTTGATTTTGTCAATGAGCCTGCCTAGTTTTTCCTTACATGTAGCTGCATTGCTAAAGACATGAATTCATACCTAGTATTGTAGTTGGTAAGTTACATCGTACAAAATGATAATAAGCAGGAGACCTGTGCAGTATTTTTTTTATTTTGACAACATGGATATGTACGTAGTTGTGTATCACTGTATATGCAATCTCACATTTTGACATGTACATAATTTTATTTCCAAAAGTCTTAACAGTGACAGTCTGTAGCCAGCTGCAGAACCTGTACTACAGTACACTGTAGGTACATGTAAGTCGTCTACAGAGCATTTCTTATCTTATCACAGTGTCTTACTGATTGAGGAGTTTTATTTCCAGATTTCTTTGCGTCATCTTTGTTTGCACCAGTTTTAGGCGTACGTGGCTGCTGAGAACACAAGATAAACTTTATTTAGAAAATAATGATAGAAATATGTAACTGTGACTCAAGACAAACATAAGCATCTGGCAGAACGTCTGTCACTCAGACTCCGTACAAGGTGTTGCTTGCACCTGGAGAGAGAGCGGAATGGAACTATCCAACAAAAAGAGCAGGGCTGCTCATTTTTTACCACCCATCATTAGTTAATAATTATAACGCAGTCCATTTTTTCAGTTTCCCCACTACAAAAATTATTATAAAACAAATGGTTTGTTGCCAATGCTGTGCAAAGGGAAAAAAAACCAGACCAGAGTATAATGATTGCAATAAAAAGTCAGAGTGAAAGTCTAGTTGCTGTTGCTGCCAAATCAAAGGTACTGTACTGTACATGTATATCTATATATGTAGTTCTACTGTAAATTGGCCTTTAACCTGTTGAGCTGGTGTCTTGTTTTTTTCTTGTTTGTTCTTCTTATCTTCTTTGACTACTCCCTACAAGAAGTGGAAAAGTTACACAAAAAGACGTGTACTCCCCTCTAAATACACCTTATTAGCCTACTTACATGTAGCAGGTGCTTGAATATCAATGGAGTGCACTGGAGCTCTGCACATGAGTGCATATGTAATCATGCAAATGACTGTGCATGCACATACCACAGGCAGACCACTCTACGGTGTTGTTTTTTTTTTCCCTTCCTGGGCCATGCGAGGTATTTTTTTATGAAATTATTTTTGGCCAGATACTGGTAAGACTAGAGAGGGAGACAAGGCTTGCAGCTTGGCATTGTGTTGGGCTGCTGTGGTATGCCAAGTGCTGATTGGTAGATTTGAAACGGCCTGCATGCCTTGAATTCCTTTGGTCGCTGAGTTTGGCACCAATNCCTTAGATAAGATTATAAAATTGGTAATAATACAATTCACGTACAAGTGTACTTACATTAGTGACTGGCTTTTTCTTCGCTCCTTTTGCTTCCTTCTGTAAAAAATAATAATGTACAAAATTAGTTATTATAATGACAGGCGAGTACAACAGTATTTACATCCAAGGAGGAGTGTTTACTATTTTTTTATCGGAGGTACCATGTATTTGCATGTATGTGAATAACATTCAAAATTAAAAAGACTTCAAAGATTAGCTCTGTCACTCCCTCAAACCTGAACTGTTTTTTTTGCCGTCAGACTGGTGGTAATTTCATCTTCCTCGTCACTTTCATCCTCGTCTTCATCATCATCATCCTCATCGCTTTCATCCTCTTCAGACTCGTCTTCCCCTGACTCCTCCTCCTCATCGTCATCATCATCACTCTCATCTTCACTGTCCTCATCCTCTTCGCTCTCTTCCTCTGCATCCTTCTTCTGTACCTGGACATCCTTATCTTCTGGCTTATTTTTCTGCAACAAAAGTAGAAAAATCAAAAAAATGTCCAGGCTAATCAATCAATCAATCAATCTTTATTTAGAGAGGATAAACTCCTAATGCAGGTAGTTACACAACTAAAGCTAAATAGGGTTTATTTCACTTCTGCTTGAGTGGTATGCCTGTATTTAACTACATGTGTAGCTAAAGGCTTGAAACAAAGTTTATTTATTTGCCTTTTTTTTAAATACAACTGTACATGACATAACAGAACCAAAATTTCCAATGTTCTGTTAAATGACAAACAATCAATGTCTGAACATTTCTTACAGCTGTCTTTGGAGTTTCCTCTGTTTTTTTCAGTTTTTGTTTGTTATCGACTTCCATTTTTGTGGATTCTTCAGTTGACTCATCTTCATCATCATCATCATCATCATCNGAAATCGCTACGAGTGATTATTACGTCTGGCCCGGTGTTGACCACGAGTTGTTGTGGATGCTTAAGGAGCTGGAGAAACAACCAGGCGACATCAATCATTCATCGCAAACAGTGGGCCTTTCAAAATTGTAACATTTCAAGCAGTATAAACGGTTTCTCTTATCCTACTTAGGGTCTGGGATTACATCATCATCGTCATCGTCATCGTCATTTTCGTCGCCATCATCATCATCATCATCATCATCATCATCATCATCATCATCATCATTATCATCATCAACTTTCTTAAACTCTCGAATTTATATAGCCACTAACAGAAATTCGCTTCTCACATTCTTCATACATACACTTAACTTAAAGCTCGTATGAAAACTTCGATCTTCTCGTTCGTTAAGGTTGCGATTTGGCAAATTTAATTAAACGGAAAACAGTTCGATAAATTAGAGCGAAAAACGTGTTCTTTTAAAACTTGTTGCTAATACAACCAAAACTATATCGTCCTAGATATCAGTATCGGGTTTTCATTTGGTAGTGTCCAAACGCAGGACGAACTGCTGCCGTAATATTAAATGTATTTACTCGAAGAACTTTTAATACTTTAAAGCGTTAGTTTCAGTTCTTAGACTGGGAAGTATGCATGTGGCATGGATGACATCTTGTAGTTGTACACAATATAAAGCAAATAAAGAAATTCACGCACTGATTAGAGAATGAAGATGTTTTCTTGCTTCCGCTGAAGATCACGAACACAAGTACAGTGTTCGTGTACTAAGCGTATTTTTGCCTTCCTTGGATCAGATGCTCGTCTCAGCATCTCACCTGAATCCAAACCTGTGAATCAGCTCAAATTGTTCAGGTCAGGATCGAGTCCATGACATCAGTTGAACTTTGTTTTTCTCAGGGTCCATTTAGAAGGGAGGAGGGGTGAAGAACTGTCCATATAAAATCTATGCAGGGATGCACAGCCGGTAGAGAACGGTTTTTAACTACGCTTTCCCAAATAAGTTTGTCCTCAAGTGCATAAGGTCCGAACTTGTTCTTAACAGAATAAAGCGACAGGATTTCAGTCGTAAAATATGATTTATAAACTGAAGCACCATAGCAANCATCATCATCATCATCATCATCATCATCATCATCATCAACTTTATTAAACTCTCGAATTTATATAGCCACTAACAGAAATTCGCTTCTCACATTCTTCATACATGCACTTAGCTGAAAGCTCGTATGAAAACTTCGATCTTCTCGTTCGTTAAGGTTGCGATTTGGCAAATTTAATTAAACGGAAAACAGTTCGATAAATTAGAGCGAAAAACGTGTTCTTTTAAAACTTGTTGCTAATACAACCAAAACTATATCGTCCTAGATATCAGTATCGGGTTTTCATTTGGTAGTGTCCAAACGCAGGACGAACTGCTGCCGTAATATTAAATGTATTTACTCGAAGAACTTTTAATACGTTAGTTTCAGTTCTTAGACTGGGAAGTATGCATGTGGCACGGATGACATCTTGTAGTTGTACACAATATAAAGCAAATAAAGAAATTCACGCATTGATCAGAGAATGAAGATGTTTTCTTGCTTCCGCTGAAGATCATGAACACAAGTACAGTGTTCATGTACCAAGCGTATTTTTGCCTTCCTTGGATGAGATGCTCGTCTCAGCATCTCACCTGAATCCAAACCTGTGAATCAGCTCAAACTGTTCAGGTCAAGATCGAGTCCATGACATCAGTTGAACTTTGTTTTTCTCAGGGTCCATTTAGAAGGGAGCAGGGGTGAAGAACTGTCCATATAAAATCTATGCAGGGATGCACAGCCGGTAGAGAACGGTTTTTGACTACGCTTTCCCAAATAAGTTTGTCCTCAAGTGCATAAGGTCCGAACTTGTTCTTAACAGAATAAAGCGACAGGATTTCAGTCGTAAAATATGATTTATAAACTGAAGCACCATAGCAATCCGAGATAGGAGACATTTTCGAATCTAGTATCCTGGTGTATGGGATTTTGTATGACTCGCTCAAGCTGTCAAGAAAATCTCTCAGAAGCAAGTTTGATTTACTCGGTAAATTTAATTTTTTTTGACCAAGTAGGATTTTCAAATGCTAAAAAGCAATAACAACGTGGAACTAGCCTTGCTTTAAAATGTAACCAGGAAATGGAACAATTTTTAACTTAAAGTTAACTATTGAGAGATTGCTTGTTGTCTATTTTTTTCTCAATAACTCGTTATTTCTAAAACAATAGAGCAGTTTTCATTTGAGTGTCGAGAAGTAATTGGTTTTCCATCACTACGCCACACGAGTGGCTTAAAAAAAATTAGCGCCACTTTTTCATCCAATGAGACTAGTCAAGACTCGCTCGCACACGTTTTCCCGCGCTTCGCATCAGCTATATGTAATTACTTTGAGTTTTGACTGGTTCACTGGATTGCTAGCGTCCTTTCTGATTGGCTGAAGTGATAACTTTGGTATCTGGTTTTACGACACTCAGTTGAAAACCGTTCTGAAAACAACATAAGTTGTGTTGTTTATTCCTTCCTGGTTATATTCCTCAACAACTTCTTTTTCAGAGAACCTGCAAGGAATAAACATTTTGTTACCAAAGTAAGATTAATGATTTCGGGTACAGTTCTCAGGAGATTGGACATTTAAGCAGTTCAAGTTGCAAAGATACACGATCATTTTCCATAGGAAATATCTTTGTGATTAGCTAAAATGGCGAGATTATAAATCAGCTTACCGGGACAGGGTCGTTTTGACATTTTCTTGAGTAGATCCAGAAGATAAGGAAAAAACTGGGTGTTGAATACGTTACGAGAGTCGTGTGTTATGTCAACTAGAGTCTTCAAATTCAGCATCTCAGACCAGACTGCCACAGGAAAAATCTCGACCCCAGTCTTTATCAGACTTTGGGCCTCTTTCTGAAGGTTGAGCATGGTGCGATCCCACGTTTGTCCTCCGTCGGTAAAAGCAAGAAGAAGCTAAAGAAGAAGATAGAGCGAATTAGCTGTCATTTATTACATTGCTTGTGTTGGTAACTGATATAACGCACCCTCTAATTGGCTAATTCTAGGGTATTATTCTCGCGTAATGCCCACCGGCCGATTGCGGGCCTGCAAAAGCAACATAAAAAGCCATATGATAAACGATTTATTAACCTCGAACGTTTGGTCTTCACGGGAAAATCTCAAACCTGGCCGCATTGACCTCGCCATCGCTCGGTCAGTACGCAAAGTATCGGTATGAGAATTTCCCGTTAAGACCTCACTTCTCTTTCAAATTACATGTTCACACCATGAATGATTAACGGGTGATAACGGATGTAAATATATCTGTAGAACAGGCCTAGGAAAACTGCCAGTACTCTAGATATCTGTATTTGTTCCAAATGAATTAATTATTAAAATTATTCTCTCTTATCATTGTTTTATTACCGCGAAATTTGAAAATAAGTTAAATAAATGTTGTTTTTGTTTAGCTCTGATGTTACGCAGTCGAACCATTATTTTTTACAAAAGCTCGAAATAATAATTATCGAAACTGTATACCATATTTTTCTATAAATTAACTAGAGCGTAAAAGGTGAGATATCAGTTTTTATATTCTTACCTTTCCAGCATCCTTCCTCTCCGATTTGGAAAAGACCTCTTTTCGTGCCATGCGCAAAGCGAGATCGATACGTGTCTGTCCGCTGATGAACTGGAGACTATCAACAACTTTCATCACGTGATCTTGGGTGAAGTTGTTTCCCGTGAGGGTGTTCAAATTCAGCTCGATGTGAGGCACACTGTCAATCACGATGACGCCGACGTGGGTTTTCTTCTCGGAGATGGTGAAAAGCGTCAGAGTCTTGTCCACCATCTTTTTTATTTTGTTAAAGTTCTCAAGGCCAACACTCTCTGATGAATCGATCATGAATACCAGGTCCATGGGTTTTTCACACACTACGTAGAAATAAATAAGTTTGTTATATCTCCCAACTCAAATACTCTTTCCGATTGGAGGAGAACATGTCACGTATTATGGCTCAAAACTCACTGACTCACGAGGGCGAACAGAACTCACTAACTCCCTAGTGAAACAACAACTTGAACTCTCGACTCTCACGTGATCAGGTCGGGCATCTTGAAACCGCCGCAAATTTGTCTGCCACCCCTCGTCAAGGAAATAATTTTTTGGCAGTGTATTCCATTTTTTTGGTCCATTTCTGAGTTGGGATGTATAACAGAAGAATGAATGACTGACCCCACGGGAAACAGTGCGTTTTGTTTCCCGTGGGGCCAGCTATTAAGTGCTCAATACTGTATGATGCTACAGTTCTCTTTCTAAAAGGTTGGATGTGGAAGGAACACTGTAAACTTCTACCACGGCGCCTAACCTCGGTTACAAGTTCATGAAGTCTGCGAATTAACTCTATTGTGTGCCTCTGTAAATAAAAAGCTATCGCGCGTTTCTTTAATTTGGTATGGTGTAGTGTGCTATTATGTCAGTACTCTTAAGTCGGTGGATGTGATTGGTGTGTATAACCATTTGTCCTACAGCAGAGAAAGTGTATTACCAAGAAAAACAAAGATGATACCTACAGAAGCACACAATTTTTTTGCCAGCGAGGGGAAACAAACGTTTTAAAAAACAGGTAAGAGTGGCAATTTCTGACATCTTTCAGTGACAAGCACGTTAAATCAATACGAATTTAAAGGTGTCAAGGGGTTTATAAAGCTAAATCCATACTTCCGTCTGTTCTTTTTTATCCAGTTGACCTACACCTCTTTAAAACCTTTATTTTGATTCCTTCTTGGTAATCTGCACCTCTTTTGTTCTTAGGGCTGGAGCATAAATTATAATATTTAGAGAGGAAGCCACATCAGCCTTGGCTGGTTTTCATGGGGGTACTCTATCCTGATCGAATTTGGCCGGTCGAATTGGAATTTGGAAATGTTGGTTTTTACGTCCGTCCATCCTTTATTCTTTTCTTTTGTTCTCTCGTTCGTTCGTTCGTTCGTTCGTTCGTCCGTTCGTCCACAAAAACGTCAAGTAGCTTTACTTCTCTTTTTGTGTCGAGGCTTGCCAGATTTTGGTTCAATAGCAGCTTGGCATGTCATGTAGCAACCATTGTAACAGCACTTGTACTCAGATTCCTCGTTCTTGTCGCAGTCTACATCCACCGTGCACTGATGGGTGACTGGTATCGAACAGCGTGTATACCGCGTCATTGGAGGACATTCACCGGTATTTTGCACTAGATGAAAAATAAAAAAAAAAAACAAACAAACAAAAAAACAAAACAAAAAAACAATAAAACATTGAATAGTGGTAGAAAAGCAAGACATTTAGAAAGAGAAAACTTTTAAGTTATCGATTTTTAAGCCGACTGTAAGGGCTAAACATGTTAAGAAAGAATCCACCACAAGTTTGAGTAACAAGCGAAGAAAAACTTCGTACCGAGATTATGTACATTGTATTGCAAACTTCTGTTCGACTCAATTTTCTCAAAAGAAATCATTTCTAGCAACACCAAATGTCGAAAACAAATTTTGAAGTTCATATGAAACACTTGAACGTGCTGGTGACATGACACTGATGATGTAATTTTACCTGTGATTGCACAAGTTCTCTGAACTACAGTTTTCTTGAGTTCTCATGGGAAATAGTTTTTGGTGTTATCTCAGGCAACTGCTGATATCTTTAGCTTTTAGAAAATGCAAAAAGGACTGTAATATAGTGAAAGTTATTCTGGTACAAGGTTTTTGTCCATTAAAAACGATTTCCTATCGGAATTCTTCTTAAAGGTCAAGCCATAAGTGTCAACTAACCCACAGTATTCTTTATATAATTCATGCAATCCTAAGTCATTTTTTCCAACTTACAGAAAGTTTTCGCTACGTCAATTGAGTCAAAACAGTTTCCTTAAGTAGACAAACGACAGAGAGGCAATGTTAAACCAAAAGGATAAAAGTTCAGCTAAGGGCCTGATTACATGGCGAATTTCAGCCCGGGCTGAAATTTCAGCCAGGTTAGCCGGGCTGAAATTTCAGCCCGGCTTCTGAAACAAATTCTCATGAAATCAAATTGGCGATTACATGAAGAAGGATTCAGCCCGGGCAAACGGACTGAAAAGTCTGAAAAAATCCCATGTATTCGAAACGGAATTTCAGCCCGGGCTGAAAAGCAGGAAATAAGATGGCTGCCGCTACGAAGTAGAAGCGATCTCAGTGAAATAAAGGCGATGAAATAGAGAATCTCTCTAATTTCAAAGCTTAGATGGGATATAAGAACATCGAGACAAGGTTAAACAGCACGAAGCTGTCAGGGAAGCCATGAACTCGGCAAGCTTGAGGACATATTTTCTTTCTATAAAAGTACGTCTTTCTGGCTGAAAGACAGGTTTCGTTTCAGTTCCATCATCATTGTAGGCTGTTACTATCCCAAAAAGTTAAAAATTGAGCGCCAACGAAAGGTCAAACTACGAGAGAAGCAATGCGCCTATTTTCACGATTCGTGTTCTCGGTGCCATTTTGATTGTCTGGACACAATTTTATATTTGGCGCCGGGGCTAATATTTCAGCCCGGGCTGAAATTCGTTATGTAATCGCAACAAAATTTCAACCCCTCTAGCCGAGCTGAAATTTCAGCCCGGGCTGAAATTCGCCATGTAATCAGGCCCTAAGACTGATGAAGATTAATAGCTATTAATGCAGATTACGAAAGAAAAACACAAAAATGTTGGACAAATTTCGCAAGACGAGATCTTTCCAAACCGCCATTTGCAATCTAATCGCGTTGAATTAAGGTAACTTCATTCGCGTTTTGACCATTTAGAGACAAAAAATACGGTTCGAGTATCGTTCAATGTTTTTGACTTATAGCATCTATTCTCGTTCACTAAATTTCTAAAAATAAATTTGCTATCAAGATTAGACGCAGATCTTAGTTATTTTGTGTTGAAATGTAACCAGACAGTCCGATTTTTGGAGAATTTGGAGAATTTGCTCTCTATGTACCAACGCATCAAATGTGTGAAAAACATTATTAATAATAACGCTTATCTACATACACATTGATGACACGGTTAAAATCATTCTCTCAGTAAAAAAAAATAGAACAGTGGAATGCACAGGGTCATTTCCTGAGAAATGTATAAAACCCAAGTTGGAGGGAACGCTCCTAAAAAAAGCTGTAAAGCATAACATTTTTCAAAGCCCTTCATTTGGAAATGATCTTGATAAATTATTTAAATGATCTTGATAAATCTACTCTTGCATAAATGTGGCTTGGAATGCACGTTATCCTAAAACTCCTTGATATAGCGTTACAAATATTTCACACTGTTTCTTTTATGTTACAAACTAACGCATCTTACGCCATTTGGCTGCCAAACTCTGTTTTTACAATTGAAAAGCGTTCATGTTGTCCACTTGTAATAGGATCTGTCAAGTTACCTCCTAATCTCCTAATAATATAACCGTTATCTTAGAATCCCATCGCAGTAATACCTTCAGGCAACGAAACTATATACATTTGGAAAGCTTAAGTCTACATTTGAGAACATCTTTCATGCCAAAAATAATCCGGATTAGTTTC